ACTTGGTACCGGACTTATTCGGGAAGGAAATTACCCTATGCTACTCAACTGGGAACGCTCCAGCCCGGATTTCTCGGGACTGCATTGGGAATCGACTCTACCGGCTTTCTCTAACATTCAATATGAGATGGAAATCATCAACCAGGAACCGAAGCCACACGTAAGAGTTGGAAGAGCTTAATGGGTAGTGGATGCATGGAGACTAATTGAATGTGAGAAGTGCTAGGATCTGCGCGGTAGACATGAAGACGGGTCGTAAAATAAATGAAATAAATAAAGTAATGATGAAATGGTTCAATGGCACCCACGTTGTTTTTGGTCCTTTCGTAAAACTGAAAATCACACGAGAATCTGTTAATTTTGCCAGCTAAATAGAAATCGATCATTCGTTTGCTTCCCTCTTTTATTTTATTTTTAACTACAAAAAGTGAACTTTAAATCACTTCTGTATAATCAATGTCGTGCGGTTTTGTAATTGGACTCACCTAAATACTGCAACATGTTAATGTAGACTGATGGAGTCTTAGTCTCCTGGAGTGATCCGGCTGTTAGATCAAGACCCAGTGAATTATAGAACCAATGAGTTTCGGAAACACACGATAATGATTTGTGCATAAGCATGTTCATTTTCATTGGAACTTGCCCAACATCGGAATGTTTTTTAGGATTTTGAATAACAGTGGTATTCTATAATGATTACGGTAAACCAAACGTAATCTGCTTTGAAATGGAATCACAGAATTCGGCTCTAGTGTGTACGCGCGTGCGTATGTGTGAATGCATATATGTACGTGCATATGTATGTGAACGTGTTTATACTTATGTGTATGTTCGTGTATGTGTATGTGCATGGTTTTATGTGTATGTGTATGTGTATGCTGTTCTCAAGAACATCCGAAGAGTTTTAGATGGAGCAAAATGTGTATGTGCTCTAATAAACCAAAGATCACCATGGTATACTGATCAATTATTTTTTACAAGAGCTAGCATCACACACACAATGTGAATCCTAGCATTTCTTGCATTCGATTACTTTCTGATCACCCGTACTGCACTAGGGTATTGGGATTTCATGTGTGGGTTTGGCTGCTCTTTAGCATTTTTTGTCTTCTTCAAGAATGTCGATAATTGCTGGTTGAGCCGATTGTCTCTCGAGCCCTGGTACAGCTGTGCTACAGCGTTTCCTCGTCTTCATCACTTGCAGGAGACGATTTTGTGTATTAAAGGGAGAGCCACAAGAGTCTAGTACTAATGTCGTCACTCCAGAGGAACGATAGGCTTGGTGGATCCAGCGCGGATTTCGCCCAAGATCCTCCCGCGAATTGATATTTTTCCCCGTCATATCGCTACTAATGATTGTTATTTATGGCCTACAGAAATCTTTTTTCTCGCTAAGTGTAATTAAACTAACAAAAAGGCTTTCATGGACCAATAAGTTCGCTTACATTCTAGAAAATCTCCGTTAACATCCCATCGTTGACATAATAAATTACGGTGATCGTTTACTTACCATGCAGTTAATAATGTGATAAGGTCAATTGCTTTTTTAATTAGAACCGTTATTTTCTTCTAATCCTAATTGCTAGAGAAAGCATTGTCAAAGTTTCACGTAGCGTAGTGGTTTGACATGGCGTTACGATGCACATGGTCATTGGTTTGATCCCGCGCCGTGGAAGAGTTAAGCTTTTAACGTTAGGCCGTATACAATTTAGTATCATTTCCGTCTCTGAAGATAAAATCATCAACATGGTACATCCTTGCCCGAGGGATTGATCAACGCAGAGCGCGATATCCTTAGGAGTTTTAACGCTCCTAGCCAAGAAAAGCTCCTCATCGGAAAGAAGAAACACTGGAAAAAAAAACTGTTCCATCTTGACGAGATCGCGTTGTTTCAACATTTCAACTTCCTGCAAAAGTAAACTTGAAATTAGATTACAAAGAAATTATTGAATTATATACAGAGCCTCACATAATTTCATTTAATCTTCTGTTTTAGAGAGATCATACACACCTAGAGTGATGTCATCCGACCAGGGAATAGAACACTACAGTTCAGTGATTCACATATTTGTTTTTTCATTAATACTTGTTATGTAATCGAAGGTGATGGTTGAACTAGACGAGTAATGATACCGTGTGCCTTTTCCGAAGGTGAGAGCTCCGTAGTACAACTGTAACCTGTAAACCAAGATTCTTCCAGAGTTGATCTATCAGACCACGGCCATTTCAATGACTAAACACTACGATAGTGAAAGTAAATTTCTTCAAGGTGCATATTTAGGCTGGTGATATATTACGCTCCAAAGTTCTCTGTCGTTCCAAGGCAGAAGTGTAGCTTTCCTTTACCAAGCCTTTTTTTTTCGCATTTATTATTGTAGCTATAAACAGAGTTCTGGAAGTTGCCGATCTTTTCACTGAATGCCGAACACAGTTTGAACCTCTTCGAGACACCTCAGGATTTGTCGTTCCGCTTTGTACGAAAATTGTTGTGAAAATATAACTCCATTTGGATCTCATTATTTTATCCGATTGATGCTCTCAATTTTATTCATTATTTGGAATAAACTTAGTTAAAGAACACAATTGCCAGAGGAGCTAGTAACTCGAAAAAATGACCATGATTTCCAATTCAGAAGCCAAATGCTTTGCACTAATTTCGTATTCGAAGAAAAAACCTGATGTCAAAAAAGAGGCCCTTCCTCTGAGATGGTGAATTCCAAAACGGGTTTTTTGAAGCGAACGACGTGACCTGGATGGATGGAGGAAGTGGAAATATGTCATTTGACACTTTTTGGTATACAAGAAACGTCTCTGACTTCTGTTCCACAAGAGAATTCAGCTCAGTGCATGGATACGCTGACTGTCAATTCCACATCATGATGTGATGATAAGGTAATTTTTTATGAACAGAAAACTATGTGCAACCCGAATGCGATGACTCTATCAGTTGCCCTGATCGTAAACAGTCAAAGTACATTCATTTGTTATCGGTCCGATTCGAAGTCACAACGAGAATTTGCTACCTGTAAACACGTACAGGAGATACATCAGTCATAATAAAACTTTCCAATAAAATGTCTGGTGAAAAATAATCGCACATATCTAGCGTGGGTCCTAATCACAGTTCGCACTTAACGACTATTATGAGTTGATTTCCATTCATCCGTTGCGGAAACAACTGCTTCCAACTTCAAATTTATAGATTTTGGCTTAAAAGAAACATTACTGGTTGCAATAAAAACACCGTAATCTAAAAATGTTTTCCTAAAGGGCAAAAGATTTCTTTCCACGATTAAATTTCAATTCACTGAAGCTAAACCAATTTATTACATGCACTTTTTTCGTCGAGGGTTATGATTCGACAATGAATGCTATTGAACAATCATTTCGTCTATCAGAACACAGTGATATTCGCTAATTCGTTATCGGTGTTTGCAGCCGCTGGGATTTCGTACGGAGTTTTAAAATTCTAAACTTCATCTCCTTTCCCATGGAGATTTTATTTCTCGGCAAGTTTGAAAATCAAACAGTACTTTTAGAAAACCGTACTCAGTCTTAGATAGACTGAGCAAATTTTCTTATATAAGCACCTCACTTTTCAAAAACCTTGTCGCCCTAATTATCAAAAACAATTATCAGCAGTTTTCGAAAAACTAGCTTTAAGCCCAAGCGACAGACAGACACAAGATAGACACATACACACACGAACACACATATGTGTACATATATGTGCACACACATCCACACCCACGCACACACCACTCACAAAACACAGGCGTGAAACGACAGATGATAAAGCCGTCGGCGTTGATCAATCCCAGACGAATGCGCCACGTATTCGACTTCAACTATCATCGTTAGAGGTGATTGAATTATTATTTGATATATAAAATTACAGTAAGTGCTTCTCTCCTCCCAAACAGGTCTGCTACCAATTTGCAAACCCTGGGGTTATGGAATGCTTGGTGAGCCTGGGGAGCGAGATCGAGTCCATGAGTGTTAAAGGGTACCTCTAGTCATTGTGCTACATGCGATCACACACTCATATACACATACACAAATTATGTTTGACAGATTGGAACCCGATTACATACAAAAACTACTTCATCAACGATCCTGTTCATTAACGTATAGCGCGCAAACGTGGATGATTAAAATTTTGATGGAATGTTCCACGCATAAGAAATGCCACAGCTTCATCGTGAAAGCTCTGCTAAATTGTGCAGTTCCGTAAGGAAAGCTCTCTCAAATTTGTACCAAATAGGAAATTATTGATCTTCAACTGTTGTTAATCAGCCTTACTACATCTAACAATGGGTCTTCGTGCATTACTTTTTGGGATATGTATTTTGAGGGATGTAGAAGGCTACTCTATAAGTGGACAACAATTTACAAACCAGGTCAAATCATTGTTTTGGGAAATTAGGAATTTTGCTAGCTGTGATTTTATTTCTGAAGATTTTCGGTCTTCGAAACAACTTGCACAGGTTGAATGATATTCAAGCTATACCGACAGCACCAGTTCTGAACATGTTCTCAATGGACAGCTAAGGGAAAACTTTGGCTCATCTTGCTTCATTTGGCTAATATAATATTTTGCATCAGCGAGGGTGTGCGTAACACAATAGTTAGATCGGCCATAAAATGCGCAAAGACCTGTGGCAAATTCGATCCAGCACTCACTAAGCCTTCCGCACCAGGACCACGAAAATTGGTGCAAGCCTCGTCTGAGAAGATAAAAACGCCGACTTGATATATCGGCAGATCATCATAAATCCTTTTATAGGCCATATATGAATGTATTCATCCTACAACACATTATGAAATTCGATACATGGCGCGTCCCTCACGGATTGATCAATTTCGATAGCTTAATCCACTTTTTTATTGCCACTGTTAACAGTTCTTTATTAAATGAGCGCTTAATGTAACTGATTCACTTGCTGATCGCATTAACTTCGTACACTCTAATCGATCGGTTTGTGATAGGCCCGGGTGGAATGCGAGGCCGTACGGGCGTGCGCCACGGGTGCATATATGTGGCACCGGTTGCGGAAGAGTGCACTGGACGGCGAGAGGAGGTGGGATGTGCGGCCTGAGTGCGCGCGCACCCAAGCCGGTTTCGCGCCGCAGCCGCCGCGGTGACGCAGTGCGGCCGTCGTCGGCACCACAAACGGCGACGACGACGTCGAGGACACTCGCCACCCCACAAACAGACGGACAGACCACCTCGCCGTTGTGACGCCGGACGGCGCACTCGATTGTTTCCAATCCAATGTGGCCAGGCTCTTCTTTTTCCTTCTTTATTTTTGTTCACTAGGGTTTACGAACCTATGTCGGAGTTTGTCACATCCTTGTGCTACGCACATAACTCTTTGTGTGGATCAGATCGGTGTTGTGTGAAACTTTCGTCGGGATATCATTCTCACTTTGTTGCTTTCACATTTGCTTTTCTGATTCTCGAGCAGTCTATTTCTCATATGGCTATAATTAACAAGGGTAGCAGGTTTTCAGGCTATAATGCGAAGACATTCTCCTTATATCCGTAAAAATTGACTTGAAGTTCAAAGCACATCTCTTCTATGTTCCTAGGCAGTTTACTCGAAAATCATGGTTTATATGCTTTGACACTTTCCCGATCCTTAAAAGGAAAAACTGGCTTTTAATTTTCTGGAATAATACTTTTTAAATAGAAAGTCCATCAAAAGTCAGGTTTAATATGGTGTTTTTTCTTCGCTTTTACTTCTGAGCTTCCCGTCACCTGTTCGTAACTCTTGGTAACTGCCTATATGTCCTAGTATATGTTCTGTTCTACGGTTTAAACTGAGTCAAACGATGACTATCACATTCCAGACTGTCTCCGGGTGATCGGCCGTTGGGGTTCTTTCCTCTGCCGTCAAGCTTGCAGTCACCGCATCTTGATAATGAGGTTAGTCACAATCAGTAGAGAAGGAGTACATGATGAGAACGTCTGAAGTGCTGTAGCTTTTTAAGCTGAATAGAAAACAGGCCATTTTTTTTTCGTACATGTCATCCATGGGATGCCATCTATTCTCTGGCGTCTTTGCGCTATATTCGTTCAGTTACTGTTCTCTGATGGATCTGGAAAAATGCCCACAGTGTTAGTTTATCACCTTGTCGCTCTCACCATAGTTGACCATCATTACGAAGGGAAATCAGTGATATTAGCTATCAGTGCGTGTCGTCAAGTACTTTCTCCCAGTGAACTTTCCCCTTTTCCTTTTTATTTCCGCTTTCTCTTTCTCTATAGTAATGACTGAACAAAGCTCACGTATGTTTACAACATTCGTATGAACTCAGTTCCTTGTCCATTCTCGTGCCCGCTTCATCGATTAAAAAAGATAGCGCTGACTCGTTCTATGAAGAAGAAGCGCTAAATTGTTTTGTTGGTCACATAAGCCCATATGTGAGCTAAATTCATATAATTACGTTAGTTTTCGATAGAACACGATTGCAAGTAGGTGTGTAATGGAATAGACTATTGTCCACTTTAGCCTTGTTATCTCATAATGGAAAGGGTCATGGTTTAATGCACTCCCACCCAGTGAATTGAATCTCAGTGTTCTGGGATTTCAGCCGCATCAATATTATCTGAAAGGATCAAAAACGGGATCACGGTAACAGTTTGCAGTGGCGAGGTGGTTGCAACTGTGCCACCTGGTACACAAGTTGTTGTCGAGGCGAAATTACTCACTTCCGATGTCGATCACACTATCGAAGAAGTTCGACAGGAAACGATTCAACAGGTTCACGATGCTTTAACGGTTAGTTTTTTCTTCCATTACGCTCCATTTTTCATTTTATCAGGGATTCTTTTAAATGCATTACATGCACTAGCGCTATGGACTCTACAGTTGTGAGAACTGTGATGTGAACATTCTGTTGGAATTACGTGTTTCTTTGCATTGTCATTTCGAATTCGTAATGTCAACAGTCGATTGTTCGTCATTGTTCGACGTGTTATGGCAGCACTAGCGATTCGAGAACTCATTAAAATGGATGAAAAATGGCCATCAAAACCCTTACTCCGTACAAAATGGTTTCGGATGTGTTGTAGAAGTATTTTGATTAGCCTATATAGCGCGGATTAATCTAGCTCTCTTATACAGATATTGCATGGCCAGTCTTTATTTGTAGTACTAGACTCTCTTCCATTTGTTCCATGATCTTGAAACCATTACGCATGTGAAGGTTCTCCGGTTCCTGTACGGGTTCGTTTTGTGGTTGGGCAGCTGTTGTGTTCTCTGCTGTTTGATATGTTGAACGCTGATACGAGCTGGTATTCCATGGAATCCTGAGATAGTATGGTCTTATAATATGCCCAGGTCTTAATGACATTCAAACGCCCACTCTGGTGTAATGGCGGGGGGTTTGTTGCCATTCGATTCGAATTCGTCCAGGACGTCATCGAAATTTTATGACGGCAGCAATTTCTCTGATTAATCAGCTGACTGATTGAGGACGATCTAACGGACCCCACATATCTCGTAATAGTGTTCATTGTTTGGATTTTTTATTTAGCGCTAGTATGCTTAGAGTTATCGTAAAATGATCTTTCGTTTTGCAACTTTGATTTGGTCGTACATAAATATGTAGGTGGTAGATCATAATCAAGGATCATAGATCGTTTTACTAGTACACGGAAGTTTTACAGCACTGTTTCGCAAGCACGTCGAGTTCAAGAGATGTAATTGGTATTACAGAAAGTCCTATGACCATGTTTTGAGTGCGTCTTAGTGTTTATTGTTCTTGAACATAGTTCACTTAACAAATGGTCTTTGAAATTTCGCCGAATGTTGCGTTTTGATAGGCTGTGCGTTTCTCGGTTCCCCAAACAGGGGTTTAATACAGTATCTGGTAGTTCTAACTGCTGACAATACTCAGTAGACTTGGATTATGAAGTGATAGTTTAGGATAGTCAATTTAATGTACACCGCTCTTTTTGCCCCTGGAAACTTATTCTTATTTAATTAATAGTTTTAGGTTGTTGGCCAACCGATACCAAACGCGAGACCATCAAACAGGACGTTATTTTGTAGAAAATGCGAAGGACACGGGTTACAAGTTGTCCTAAAGGGACATGCATCAAGATGTCCTTACAACAACTGTCAGTGTAAGACTGTAAGTTTTTTGCCTTCGTATTTTTTCCTTTATGAAACTGGGTCTCTGATCTGATCAATATGTTCGAAAGTTGACTTGATCAGAGCAAGTTTTGTCACTGTTTCGTTTTTTTCATACGATTGGTAAAAAGAAGAACATGAAAACATCGATGAATGATTCATCGGTTGAAACATTTATTTGCTAGCAAGAAAACAATGCTGATCATCACATTTGTATGTGGATTTTGTATTTCTGGAAACACTTCAATTGATGACATTTACATGGTGACACTTGATTCAACAATAACAGTGATGCACTTTTGCCCGTGAAAAAAGGTCGCACTCGTCATGGTTACATATAAACTGTGTGGTCCTGAAAAAAAATCGGTATTAAGTACTATATAAATGTATTATGGGGGTGTGTGGCCCAGTGGTCGGGGGCACCTTGAAATACAAATGGGATCGATTCCCGTGCTCCTGGCCCACCAAGTTTTCCATCCCTTCGAGGTCGGCAAATTGTTACCATACTTGTCTGGGAGGACAACGGCACTGGCTCGATACATCGGTAAGCCACCGTGAGTCACTGTAAAGACCAGATATGCATTCAATCAGCTCCAAACGGTGCTTAATGAAGTTGAATCCATGGAGCATCCCTAAGGGATTGATCGACGTCGGAAGCTTTTATCCTTTATAAATTTACTATACGATTTTAGGAGCATCATCTTATCACCGTGACAAATTACTTTATCGAATTGCTAGTGATTGCCTTTTTCTTAATAATTTGAATAGTTACAATTTATCACATCGGATAGTCATTGTTTTGCTGTAACATGCACACTTTAATAGAGTACATGTTGTAATTTCCTACTGTCTATTTCTTGAGTGATTTATTTGAAAAACGGTAAAGGTTCTTCATTTTCCTAGTAGCTTTTCCAAGTTTACAAGTGCGCATCCTGTGGGCAGGCGAAATGTCACGGCGTCTCAGAAAGAAAACGGAAAGTGAAGTTGCTAAGAGAACATTGCTGTCTGTATGGTTTCAGGATCGACTTACTTGTCGCAGTCCTGAAAATAACAGTGAGTAGTGTAGAACGAATTCTTTAATGGAAGAAATCCGCCTTTATAGGCGGTGCTAATCTATGTTAGTGTCAACTTTTAACATAGCATCGAAACCAAACGGTTATTTCTGCCGTTTCTAAGTGAACAGGACCATTCTTCTCCGAAAAGAATCAGGAACAAAGTTGTAGGATTCGTTCTTACTCAAATCTTGCTGTGCACACCCACCTACACCCATGCCCACACCTACACACACTTACACACACAACACACACACTCCGACACTTGCGCGCACATGAGATGTTTAGGATAACAGTGTTTTCTACACAATCGTTTTATTCGACAGTCGGAACTCTTCAATTAAAATGCTTGACTTGGCTTAGGTTTAGAAACTTTCCATAACATAAGTCTTGGTTTTTTTTCCTGAATCGGGCCTCGAAAAGGAAATTCGAGGATCCGCTTGAATAGAAACGTAATAATTTTTTCTTTGTTCTTCAATCTGATAGAGGTTGCAGAAAAAACATTAATAGTTAGGAGCAAAAAACTCGTATTTACTTGCAGTGAAATAATACAAATAATGGATAGCGGACGCTTCCTGTTTCCCATATTTGCTTTCCCAGATTCGTCATTTATTTGTCATTGCCAGTGACATGTAACAGAATGTCTACAGCTAGTGTACTGGAACTGTAAGCGGCATATACTGCCGTAAAAATCATAGGCTTTGAAATCACCAAACTAGTGCTAATATTTAGCTCTTTACTATCTCTAACAATAGGGTTGGGATCTATGGTGTTCGCAAAGATACGTCATGCAGAAGCATCAGTTCCATTCTGTAGCGAATTTTATTCGTAACAAAAACACTGTTAAAAGAAATTAAATCCTACTCTGAGAAACAAATCGTTGTCAACAGGCAATCACTATCATCAGTAACCGCATCATGTAAAAGCTGCCTGGTGAGGTTGCTTCATTCGGGCGGTGCTCCACTGAAGAAGATTCTACTCCATACGAAGGCGAAGACACCACATCAAGAACACTGTGAACTATCGACTTGCATCATCGGCTTTGAGAAAGGCGTAGACGTCGATACGTTAGCCGAATAAACGTTGTACATCAGCCTCATGCAACCACAAAGAATTTTATTGATTACACTGAGGTTAAGCGAAAGTCGATTTAATAAAGTACTATTCTGAGAATTACTAGCTGCAAGATGTAGCTTTCTCCACCGACACGTGGGGTTGCATCTGCCGGGGAGCTGTCGACTGTTTCCGTAAATTGTATCAGTAATCTCCGTTAGTTAAAACAAACGCGTGGAAAGTGAAACATACAAACTTCGAAAAAAAAGCGCCTCGTGGGTCTAAAAGATCGGAATTTCTCATTGCAAATTAACTGTGAGTGGTTCTTTGTGGAAGAGACTTCTGGGGATCTTGATGGCTTTCATCTGAGTTAACAAATTTTTCTATGAATTGAGGTACAAGAAGGAAGACATCAATTTCAGTTACATATGAGTTATATTGATTCATACCACCATAGATCTCTAGAAAGATTTTGTTGTTAGTGTAGAACGGGCAAATGACTAATCAATCTCTGTTCCTTTAGGGAAATTCACGATCCTTCTATTTCCCCTGCGTTATGCCAATAATTTTAATTTTATGATGTTAGTGACGGTATTGGTTTAAGGCGTTTGCTTAAGTGTCTTCTCATCGCTTTTCATAACGTTTTTATTACGTTTTGTAGGTAGCCATAAGAATTCTACTTCCAAATTTATCGTAGGTCTTCTGGAGATGTGTGTGAATGGAAATGAAGGTGTTAAAAATAAATTTGTTTTCTAAACCAAAGTGTAACAGTTTTCTCTCAATGCATTACTCCTGACTAGGGCGATGAAGAAAGAACTACGGATTTCCTCTGCTTAAGTTCGTTTAAATCGTTTAGTAAGTAGTTTTAAATAGGTGTTTTGTATCTCCAGCACAGATTTCGATTTTGTTCAGTTACTAAAATTCTTTCTTTCTTCTTTCTTTTTAAGCAAAAGTATCCTTGTTATACAACTCTAACAAATTACTCTAATTACGTTGATTACATTTTTTAGTGCTCAAATGTGATGTCAATGAGGGCGAACGCAATCATCCGAAGATATCGTACGCGAACTTTAGAAGGAGGTCTTGTGCTTAAGCCGGTGCATTTCAAAAATGGCAATACCCGACTTAGAGTTTTTCCTAAATACGTCGATGGTGATTATTCGAAAGTTAATTTTAATTCGTGATTTAGTAATCTTCCCAAGGGTCTTGATATTCAATCGATCTTTTTCATCAGAATCCGATGCTCTGGCAATTCCAATGGAACGAAATCGCGAGAAAAATCCATCTGGTGACGACAGCTCCGTGAGGAACCAATCAGCTCCGATCACACCTCCAGGAAATGGCGTGGGACCGTTTGGTGTTAAGCGATGTTTCAGTGAGGTGATTTCTGTCGCAATACCTATTCCAAAAATTATCCACTACGTAGTATTTAGCACTATTTAGCTATCTTTAGGAGACAGAGCAGCGCTCTTCACCTAAAAGAACATTCGCCGACCCCACAAAGTCAACATCGCCGGTGGGAACCAACGCTCAATCTTGTCCACAATACGATCGAACACATGCACCGAATCTTTTGGATATTCTTTTAAGTGAGTTTCTGATCTTTCTTCAAACAGGTTGACCTCTTACAAGAAGTATTAGTAATGTTCTCTAAATAATCGGTAGAATTTCTTAACCTATTTGAGGAGTGATTATTTTTGTTATCACGATAGTTTATTTTTAAATTCACTGTAATGCTGACGATTTAAATAATAACTGTTATTCAAAGTTCTGAATTGTTATGGTTCGGATTACAACATGGAATGAAATATAGTGCCGTAGGTATTTTTTCACTGATAGACTACGGTAATGAAATAAAATATACGTATATAGTACATAGCGGCGCGTGTAGCGCCCAGGGCGCCCAGCAATACACGTGGGATCTATCCCCGCTCCCCAGGTCCACCAAGCCCTCCATCCTTCCGGGGTCGGCGAATTGGTACCAATCTTGTATGGGAGGATAACAGCATTTGCTCGATACATCGGTAAGCCACGGCGAGTCATTGCGAAATGGGCCGGATATGCATTCAATCACCTCCAACGATGCTTAGTGAAGTTGAATGCATGGCGCATCCTTCAGGGATAGATCGACACTGAGAGCTTCATCCTTTTTCTTTAATAGTGCACGAGGTACAAATATGTGGTGCATTTTGAATATAGTTTCGTGCTTTTGCAGCACAATATTGCATTGTGTCATTTCTCAGATGGCCTTATTTGAGAAGACAGGAAGTGATCCCTAGAAGGTAAGGAGGAAGGCCTGACGTATTGTCTACATTGCGCGTTTTTTTCGCTTTTCACTTTCTTTATTTTCAAATGTAGATGAGTCGTCTATAACATTGTCGGCCTCTTGTGGGTTAAACTAGATGATTTCTACTTTTCACAGGGATCCATTCCTTTTTTAACAATAGAAAATATTCTTTCCGTTCCCTTTTTAGGAATATGCGATTAAAATTAGTTGACAAGATGAAGTTAGTTGACATTGACAGCGCTATATCTTGTAAATCTTCTTGGTCACGTAAAGGGTATGTACCCTAATGGCAGCCTTTGATCTAATGAACAATTACTCTATTAGCTGAGAAACAGGCGAAACGTTGGACCTACATGGTATGGTGGTGAGCACCTTAGCCCCCGGAAAGAGTAATGTCGCGTTCGTTCCTCACCGAAGACGTAGAAATTGTAGCAGTCAGAAAATAAAAAACTAAAGCATTGTGATTACTCTGCTATTTCTAGAGCACCAGTTGACGAATCGTGATCACTCTGCGGATCTACTTTCTCAAGGACTTCTTGGTCTTCCACCGAGCTATTTTCCAATCTGTGCACTTCCGCAATACGATACACCGTCATCGACTCTGCTTGCCTCGTCACTTTCTAGTTTGCCTACACCCTCATTAACCTATTCGTCGCCTATCACTTCCTATCAAAATCCGTTCGTCACATCTCCCGTATACAGTGACTCGTCTTCGAAGAAGCAAGAGGAAAATGTATGTCAAATACTTTCTTCTGTGTAGAAGCTCAGCATTATTGGTTTCCTTAAGGGACAGTGCCTCCTTTTGATTCGTATCAGTTTCAGGATCCTGTTGTTTGCCCCACTAGTAAACTCAGTGAATTGTCAATCGGAATTACAGAGCCAACATCTTTTGCGGAGCCACCAAAATTAACACCTGGAATGATTATGACAAGTGGTAAATAGATTTGTTCATTTCCTAGAACAACCGTGCGAAGCATTTTTGTGCTTACCACTCTGATTTTCTTAGATTAGAAATTTTTTTCTTAGATTTTTCTCACCGATTTTTTTTAAAAGGGACCAATACTGAGCCTCGACCTGAGCCGTTTACCGCAAACTTGATGATCTCACCATCTGCTGATAGAAGTCATCCGTTATTTAAACAGTTCCTTGCTACTGTTAGAGAGTTAGAGAAACAAATGTTACTCGAGTTTAATTCATAACACAGCTTTGTTGTTTATTTTAAGATTTTCGAACTGCTTTTTTATATTTCTTACTTTGTAGCGGTTCTATGGGTATTTTTAAGGTTGAACTCGTATAGTTCTTCCGTGTTTGTTTTCTTGTTACACCCTTGTGGATACGTGATGTCCGAATTGATTTCCTGACCTTTTTGTCTTAAAAGAATTTGCCTTTTCATCCTGATAACTTGAAATTTTTGTTCTCATTGATAGTGAAGGAAATTTGTCTACAGATTTGTACCAGTTTTTTAAAAAATAAATCTAGATTATAGAATACGGAGTTTATAGTGCACTTATAATATCAGTCTTCACCAGTGATTCCAACGGGTTCCTAGTAATTTCAGTAGTGAACAAGTTTTGAATGCAAGTTTCCATTGCGGTGATGCTCTATGTTGGTTATGCAACAAGGGATAAAGCGCTCAGTGTTAATCAATCATTGAAGGATTCGCAAGGAATTCTACTTCATCGCGCTTCATTGAGCTGATTAAATGAAAATCAGACACCATTTGTCGTATCCAGAAGAATGGAAGGCTTGGTGAACTGAGGGCGCTAGGGTACTGAAGAACACCGTATGGCCACCGTGCTAAATGCGCTCTTTCTACAAGAGGTTGGGCCCATAATATGTAGAGAATTTTTATATTCATGCGAGTGCATCGCTGTTGACGAACGACCAATAATTGCATTTTAAAATGAAGGCTCGGATAACAGTTCAGGTTGTTCAATGTGTCGAAAATTTGACAAGATATGTATAAATATATTACTCTATTGATATTACTGCACGAGATCATTATAAGAAACAATTTATTGCGCGTAAAGTTTTGGTAGCTCGACTCTACGATTCATCTAGTCTTCCACTTCACCCAGGTGAGCGTGTAGCGCAGTGGTTAGGGGCGCTCTGCAATCCCCATGGAATGGATCCCGGCTCCAGGCTCACCAGACCCTCCATCCCTTCGGGTTCGACAGATTGGTAACAGACTTGCCTGCGAGGAGAGCAGTACTGGCTCGATACATCGTAGGCCACCGCGAGTCGTTGTATAGGCCAGATATGCATTCAAAACCATGCACTAACAATGTTAAATGAAGTCGAATTCATGGCGCATCCCTTAGGGATTGGTCAACGCCGAGAGCTTTATCCTCTATCCTTTATCCTTTATTCACTTCACTCTATTCCCCTCTATGTAACCAACGTGCCACATCATTGTCGATCACGTGACCCGAATTTGGCTCACAGCTAATCTGTTGTTGAGTGGCTCGCGAAATTCTGGTCTCTACATTTAATATTTTATAGAAAACCGCTATTGGAGGAGATTGTACTACGGCGAATGAATACCGTTGCCGAAAAGTGTTCCCTGCATAGGCAGTAGGCTAGTGAGGAGGCGTAGGAACGCCTCTGCTTAAACGCCCGGAATTCTAGACTTAGGGAAGGTTTTTGATAAGGCCGATTGGTGAGATAATATTGTACAACCCATCTTGTCAGCCACATCTTGTGTTTTCGATGTGGTGGTTTGCCAACAGACTTTCACAATTCCTCTTCCTCATAATGGGGCTGCAATAGTACACCATTCAGGAACAGGATTCGCACTTCAATAATCCCTCATCTTTTCGATTCTACGGTTCTTCCAGCGCTCTATCATGCTGCAGAGATGCGGGTTGATACTTCAACCACGTCAAGAATGCTTCGCACTACTCACACAGCACTTGAGCGATGTCTTCTGAAATATAATCGGCACTCTCAATATGTAGCCAGAATGCGAAGCTCTGATCTTCGAGATCCATGAGAATATACATCGACAGCGAAACAGAGATGGGCCGGTTACATAATGAGAAGAACAGACGACAGGATGGACGAGAAGAACAGTAGAGTGGACTACGAAGGAATGTAAATGTCTCCTAGGACGACCACTTACACATTGGGCGGACGTGTTCGTAAACAAAGTTAATCAGCTTAACCCCAGCTGCAATCGTTTTACAGATCACGGTATGAGATTCGCACGCGCTGACATGGTCGAACAAGACCGCCACCATGGATTGCGATTGCGAGAGAAGGAAACAAATGGCAAATATGCTGGGGTCCGCAGAACTCGTGAAGACGGACCGCCCAAGTAACCAAGTAAGTAAGTATAATCGCTGAAACGTTATAGTGGTACAATGGCGTCTCAAAGGAGAGACCGATAAAGCTTTTCACCTCGTCAACACTTGTCTTTTGCCACCCACGTCCTTCAGCACAGCAAATCCGGTAATCTCGACCATGACCACCTAAACATCAGTCACAAACAATTTGTGGAAAATATAGCGATTGCGTGTGTCGGTCTTCCAATCATCTGTTTTTTAATTCTCACTCTCAATAAGAAGTCGATCGAAGTCAAAGTTAAAACCGTTGTTAGCTTACGTGGCTGAAAGCTGTCATATTTTCAACTCTTAACCATCAAAATTAATCCTAAACGATTAGAAAGAGAATTCGTTATGAGTAGGAAATTTGATGGTATCAAGATAGAGGTAAATGAGAACGAGCGAAAAGAAATAAAAGAAAGTGATGATAAATGTGCAGAAAAACGATAACCTTGCAACGGTGAGCCTTGTATACCCGGGTCGCTTAGACAATTCCACAGCACTGATAAAACATCGACCTTAACCTCTCTGATAAAAATTGTTGAAAATCCTACAAATTCATTGACACTGTCGA